ATTGGAAAAATACACAGAGGCAGAGAAGCTGGAGATGCAAGTTCTGGATGCAAGGAGCAGAATTACTTGGAGTGGAACACCCAGATACGATTAGAGCCATGGTAAATCTAGCATTAACATATGGAGACTTGGGAAAATACACAAAGGCAGAGAAGCTGGAGATGCAAGTTCTGGATGCAAGGAACAGAATTCTTGGAGTGGAACACCCAGATACAATCAGATGCCATGGTAAATCTGGCATTAACATATGGAAACTTGGGAAAATACACAGAGGCAGAGAAGCTGGAGATGCAAGTTCTGGATGCAAGGAGCAGAATTCTTGGAGTGGAACACCCAGATACAGTTAGAGCCATGGTAAATCTAGCAACAACATATGGAGACTTGGGAAAATACACAGAGGCAGAGAAGCTGGAGATGCAAGTTCTGGATGCAAGGAGCAGAATTCTTGGAGTGGAACACTCAGATACAATTGATGCCATGGCAAATCTAGCAGTAACATATGGAAAGTTGGGAAAATACACAGAGGCAGAGAAGCTAGAGATGCAAGTTCTGGATGCAAGGAGCAGAATTCTTGGAGTGGAACACCCAGATACAATTGATGCCATGGTAAATCTAGCAGTGACATATGGAAAGTTGGGAAAATACATAGAGGCAGAGAAGCTGGAGATGCAAGTTGTGGAAGCAAGGAACAGAATTCTTGGAGTGGAACACCCAGATACAATTGATGCCATGGCAAATCTAGCAACAACATATGGAAACTTGGGAAAATACACAGAGGCAGAGAAGCTAGAGATGCAAGTTGTGGAAGCAAGGAGCAGAATTCTTGGAGTGGAACACTCAGATACAATTGATGCCATGGCAAATCTAGCAGTAACATATGGAAAGTTGGGAAAATACACAGAGGCAGAGAAGCTAGAGATGCAAGTTGTGGAAGCAAGGAGCAGAATTCTTGGAGTGGAACACCCAGATACAATCGATGCCATGGCAAATCTAGCAGTGAACTATGGAAAGTTGGGAAAATACATAGAGGCAGAGAAGCTAGAGATGCAAGTTCTGGAAGCAAGGAACAGAATTCTTGGAGTGGAACACCCAGATACAATCGATGCCATGGCAAATCTAGCAGCAACCTATGGAAAGTTGGGAAAATACATAGAGGCAGAGAAGCTCGAAATTCAAGTTCTGGATGCAAGGAACAGAATTCTTGGAGTGGAACACCCAGCACAATCAATGCCATGGCAAATCTAGCACTAACATTTTATAGTTTGGGCAAATATACAGAGGCAGAGATCCTAGAGATCCAGCTTCTGGAAGCGAGCAACAGACTTCTTGGATAATCCCTAGGTTAACAAGTACTAAATAGGTTATTCCAAAATAGGTTCTTTGACTTTTTTCTTTTTTAATAACTCAAATTTACCTTTCCCCAAACATCAATTTTCATCTAGTTATTTTTCACTGGTTATATTCTTACAGGTCATTTCATTTTCTTACAGGTCATTTCATGTTCTTACAGGTCATTTCATGTTCTTACAGGTCATTTCAAGTGTTTGTAGACAGGTTAAAATAACCATTTTGCCCAATGTGAAGTTCAAGGATCTGCTGCAAGCTTATTTTCACTTGTCTTCTTGGTAAATACATTTCAACCTCATTTTTGCTATGCAGGTAAGTGGGAAACATCACATTATACAAAATGCAATCCTGCAGAGCAACCACTGCAATGGGATGCACATGAGATACACTTGAATTGTTTGTCTAGTCCTTTACAATCCCTAACAGTCTAGTTGTGTGTGTGCAAACAATATTAGTCTCACATAGATGTGAAGTCTTGAGTTCAAGTCCTGAAGTGAACATCTACAATTATAACTCATTGAAATCTACCACAGATCTGTAGACTGTTATTCACCCTTGCTCCAGCCCTATTGTAAGCTTGTTTACATCTCTCAATCACTATATACAATAACTGACTGTACAATTTCACAGACATTGAACATCAACTTATGTTTGATATGCACATCAACACACCACAACCCTCCTGATGTCAGCATGTTGAGTCTGAGACAACCCACATCAGAGGGTGCTGTTGCTTCTGCCAATTCCAACTTGGAAACCCAGCCCAATTCCAGAGCTGAGGATTTGACTGCAATACTTTACCATCCCCCACATAATCCACATGGATTCCACTGGACTTCACTATATACTGGACCATTATAACAATATTCACAAATCTGGACTCCACTGGACTGGACTGGACTGGACTGGATGGACTGCCTAAATACAAAAGTGGACTGGACTGGACTCCACTGGACTTCCAACACTTAGAATTAAACAGAGAGAATTGGAATATATTTACTAGAACTACATAAATTTATTTTACTACATTGAAATATTACTACATGGGAGGGGGAGGGAGGAATGGAGAGTGGTGAGCTGCAAGGGAGGGGGGAGGGGGTGGTGAGTAATGGAGGGGGAAGGGGATGGTGGACAGTGATTGATAAAGGGGGAGGGAATGGTGGTGCTGGGCCCTCATTGCTGTTGTTGACGTGGATGTGTGGTAGTCGTTGACATGGACGTGGGTGGTTGTTGACATGGATGTGTGGTTGTGGTTGTGGTTGTGGTCATCAACATGTTGTTGTTGTTGACATGGATGTGTTGTTGTTGTCATTGTGTCTGTCATGAACCATCCCTGTGACCTATGACCTTCATTCCTAACCCACACAAACAACCCTCACTCATGCAAACAGCCTTCATTGACCTTGTACTCAAGTGTCCAATACCAAGCTAAGAAGTACAAATGTCTCTTGTTCATCACACTCACCAAGACTCCCTCCCATTGTCTTGTCATCACCTCTTCACAATAAACCCTCACCGACCTTGTACTCAAGTATCCAATGCCGAGCCAGGCAGCACCACCAGCTATTGTTCTCAAACTGCCAAGACTTCTTCCATTGCCTTGCCATCATCCCTTCACAAGAAGAATCCAACTCCGACTCCTACCTATCATCTCCATCTCTGTTGTACTTCCTTCTTGAGGTCTTTATCATGCCCCACTGATTCCTGCCGGATTCCGGTCATTCCTGCAGAATCCAGTGGAATCCAGAGGAATCAAATTTGGCAGAGACACCAGCCAAAATGACATTCTGGGGGACAAATATTCCTCAGGAATGATGTCATTCCTGATTAGTAGCCGGAATAGTCCCCAGAACGGACAAAAAGGAATGCAACTGGAATGCAATGTCCAAAATACACATTACTAATCAATAATATTAATAAACATTAATATGCCCATGCCCAAATCGAGTCTCAGCAAACGCCGAGGCTTGATTTGGCATCATCAAACAATCCACAACATTTGTCTTTTAACCACCACCATCATTGTCAACAACAACCGGGCACGCCACGTCACCACCCTTGCCAATGGCCACCACCAGCCACAACCATCACCGTCACCATCACCGCCCACCAAGGACGACGACACGTCAGCGGACAATGAGGATGGCCACACGTCAATGGACGACAATGGACGATGAGGATGGCCACATGTCAATGGACGATGATGGATGACGAGGACGACGACTACACATCAATGGATGACAACCACGTCAACAGATGACAACCACGTCAATGAAGGATGGCCATGTCAACAGACAGCCATGACCATGGACAAGGACATGCCCCCAATGATGGGAAACCAAGGTGCCACGTTGCTGTCAGCGAAGTGGCAACAAGGTAAGTGCCCCATCCCAACACGTCTCGTTAATGACCACCACGACAGGACGGGTGCTCACAACGATGAGCGCCTGTTGACGAACACCACACCACATTACGACACGACGACAATGAGTGCCCACAACGTAGAGCACCCACCCCATTGGCGAAGACAATGACAAGCGCATATGACAACAATGAGCACATACGACAACAATGAGCACATACAATGACGATGAGTACATACGACAATGACGAGGGCCCACCCCATTGATGAACACGATGACAAGATATCCCTTTTCCTCCCTCCTTCTTTGTCCATCCCCCCTCCCTTTTCCCTCCCCCCTCCTTGTCAAAACCTCCTCCCTTCTCCCTCCCCCTTCCTTCTCCTTCCCCCTTCCTTTTCCCTCCCCCTTCCTTTTCCCTCCCCCCTTTGTCCCTCCCCCTTCTTGTCGATCCCCTATTCCTTGTCCCCCCTCCCTTTCCTTTTCCCTTCCCCCTTCCCTCCCCATTTCCTGCTGCCCCCCCCTTCCTTCTCCACCACACACTCTCCCTACCACTCCCTCCCCCCTCCATCACTCTCCCCTCCATCACTCTCCACCACTCCCTCCCCCCTCCCTTTAACACTCAATGTAGTAGAATAGATTTATGTAGTTCTATCAAATACACTGTGATTCTCCCTATTCAAGTCTAAATATCATAAAGAATTCTTAGAAGTTATGAGCATAAGGTCTGAGTTGATTAAGTCACATGACATCTAGCTAAGCTTGGAATTTTCCATCATATACTCTAGGCTCCAAAATATGTGTTTTAGGCCATTCCTGTCCATTCCTGTGCCATTCCTGTCCATTCCTGTGGATTCCAGTGGATTCCTATGCCATTCCTGTGGATTCCAGTGGAATGGCTCCATTCCTGCAGCCCGGTCAAAAACGACTCAGGTTGTTCCAAGGTACTTCTGATTGCCTAGAATTGAAGCAATGTAAACATGTCGTTTTATCGACAGATTCTATACAAATAGACTTGGTTCGATATTACACACATGTATGCAGTGCGTGGGTCAGCCTTACAAATCACTGCAAATCACCTGAAATATAACTAACTCAATTGATGCCACATCAAGCCATGCAAATCGACCATAGTCACTGTGACTTGGCCTCATCAGAGTTGATTTTCACTGGGCCTGCAGGAATCAGTGGGGCATGACAAAGTACTGTGACCAAGGTCAGTTTTACATGCCCGGGCTTGGATTCAGCCTCCTTTATGACCCAGGAACTCTTGTGGGCCTGGCTGGCAATGTCTTACCACATGGTGTTTGTCCCGTTGTCAGTGAACACGCCTGTTTGGCTCACTTCTGGCATAAAAAGGTTGGGGAGAGGCTTGGCGTCATGCCACCTCAATGGCAAACAATAGAAAAGCTGACTCATACAATACTGGCTATCTAATGTATATAGGATTACTCTGGCTGCTGGCATACCTGGAGCTTCTCAGCATCAAGTTTGGAAGACAAAAATACAAGATCTTCCCAATCCCTGATCTGTCGCGTCATGAAATTGACCTTGGCCTTGGCATGTTCAATCCTTTCCACAATGAGTTCCTGCACTTGCTCCAATTGTGGTTTAAGCCGGCTGACATCCTCAGGTGATAGGGTCGATGTCTGAAGATTGATTTGCGCAAGTGGCAAAGCGCTATCTTCAGCCCACTTATACCACTTGGCTGACTTGCTAAGCATGTAGTAGACTCCCTCCTTTGGATAGCTCTTAGGAGTTATCCACCATGGAAACTCATATGAAGGCCGGACAGAATCTCTTTGAATTGCTTTGTCAGGGTGAAGTGGCTCACACTGAATACAGCTTCTAAGGAACACGGGGACCTCAAACTGGGGCCAAAGTCAGCAAGAAAAAAGGCTTCAGGATGGCTTACCTCATGCCCATGAACGAAGGCCATTCCAATACTATCAATCATGAAGCCCTTTCCAAAGCAACAAGGTTAGTCGTGACCAGATCCAGAGAAATCAAATGGCTCACCACTTCGGCCGCATAATACTCATCCCATGAGATTTGGAACTTGGGCTTGATAGGCTTGGCAAGCTTAGCAGTGTGAATGGTCCTAAAGTGAGATGACCAGTAGTCGAGGACTTCCTGGAACTCCTGTGGGAGAACCCACAGGAGACATTTACCAAAATGTGCTTCAAACTTTTGACCTTGAATCATATCCTTCATCCAGTCAATTTCAACCTGCAGCACAGGGGGTACTTGTGTTGAGGGTACTGGTGTAGAAGACATGGTGGTGTTGGATAAAGATGGATGATAATCTAATTCAGCCAAGATTAGGTAATGCAAGAGCCTGGCACATGACACTGGCATTTATAAATTCTTTGGTGGCCTGGAAGGCAAGCTCTTTCCACATACTGATTTGTCCCTCCACAAAGGATACATGTTCTGGCTTGTCTGGCACCAAGTCCCTCAGCCCGGCCCACTCCTTGGCTTTGTTGATGAAAAATGGCCGGGTCCAGTTCATTTTGTTTGGGATCAAGGTATGCTCTTCTGACCATCAGTCATACCAAGCTTTTGCTCTAAGCCAATTCACCCGACATACTATTGGGTTGTCTGGTTTCAATTCATCTAGAGTAATCAAAGTAGTTGGATCTGACCTTGTTCCATGTATGTTGAACCTGACGAATCATCAGCCACAGCCATATTCCAGAACCATGGCAAAGCAATATTTCTTTGACCCTGGGCGTTGCCATCGTATACTGTAGTTAGTGCCCTTGTATCTTTTTTCCCTATCGGCTTGTAATGGTCATGAGTGCCCCGAGGAGCATTGAGCTGATTGAGAGCCCATCGAGCTTGGTTGTATGCCCAGAGAGCACTTTTCATATCATGATCCGATCCTTGTACAGCATTGTAAGCCTAAGTTACACATTTTTTCGATTTTTCTGATCAAACTCTCCTGCGGTAAAGGAACGACTTGTAACTGATGGCTTCCCATAAATGTTTGAGAGTGTTATTTGCCTGGGCCACCCTCAATTCTATCTCTACACACCAGGCTTCTCCCAGTGATGTAGGGAGGAGGGCCGATTGGAATGAGGATGGTAAGAGGATTTGTTGATGTTCAGCTGATTCATACCTCCGATCAGGCAAACTTGGTATACTTGGTACTGGAATCACCTCTTCATTACAATCACTCCAGTCATCATCATCCACAATCTCCTCTGAGAGCAGTGGATCATGAATAGTTCCTTCAATAATTTCCAAGTTGGGAAAATGGCCTTGACCAGCCTCGGAAAACTCTTCAAGTCGCTTGGACAGCTTCTCTCGATGTTTCATTATCTCCAGCTTCTGATCAGCACTTGGACAACTGCCTTGAGCCTTCACAAAGGCGGCCAATTCAGCTCTGGATTGTTCAATGTTTGAATCTAGCAATATCTGACTTTACTCACTGGGCTTCCTGAATTTTGATACTGCTGTTTACCCATCCAGTTAATCCCAGCTTGACTTTGCCTTTCTGTTCTTTAGTCATAAGTTTTAGCTGAATGCCCTTTTCGGTCTTGGCTGATTCAATGATTTTACAGCTGGCCTTTGTGATGGAAAACTTGGTCCTTACCTTCCTTGACCTTGACATAATAGATGTCCATGGAGGAAAGGTCCTTTGCCTGGTTCAAATTGGCTGTTTTGATCTGTTGCTCCCATTCTTGAATCTGTTCTGTACTTGCCGAGGCACTCAATTCTTCAAGAGCCTGGAAGCTCTCAGAGAGCCCGAGTTTTGCTCGCTTCCACTTCTTGCAAAGGCTACTCACTTGACTTTTATTAGCTTAACAGCAATGTAAAAGCAGTTGAACATAGATACCCATATTGATCATTTTTTTCCAGTTGTTATCCAGCATGTGAGCATCCAATACCTCTGATCTATGGGCCAAAGTCATTGTCCGGGTGGTGCGACTGACCTCATTGAGAACAGCCCACAAAGTCTCCAATATCTCTCCATCTGTTTGACCGGCCCCGGGGATGAATGTTGGGGCAAATCATGGAAAGCATATTTCTTGGTGGCCATGGACATGGAATAAGCTGATCCCAGCTACTAATAACAAGTCCGGTCTGATCCAGAGGTGTTTGGCACCACATTTTATCCAAGCCATCAAATTCACCATATACTGGCACTTGATGTCATAGACAAAAATATCCCTTTTTTCTTCATCAGTCATGGTATTCTTCAGAGCCTGGCACAAGGCATAGTCCATGTTCATTTGCCTGTTTGGTAAATAAATGGTTCAACCTGAAGATAACTGCCATACCTTTCTCCCTTTTGAAAATCTACCACTGAGCTCAGACAAAATGTGCCATGTTGAAGGCAAGTGATAGCCCCAATTCCTGTAGCATTGAAACCTCAGTGGAATACATTTTTATTGTTGATGGCATCGTGCTCATGACATGACCTCGGCTGAAAGAATCAGACATCGGCTGAGTTGCTTGAAGGATAAAACTGACATCATTATCTTCAATGGCATCCCAAAGGTGGCTCAAGTAGGGACCTCTTTGGGTCATGAAACCATGGCCATCTTTCAGCCAAACATCATCCTTGGGTCATGCCTGTTTCTGGTGTGCTGCTGTGAAATTGCCATCGGCTACAAATCCTTGGGTATACTTCCAATTCTCTGGATCTTGGGGATTTTCATTCCAGTCATCAGGCAGATTGACTCCAGGCAGTGGGCAGGTCCTGCAAAAAAAGACCATCTCCCCTGGTCTTGGAGCCTTACCTTTGTGTCCAAATCCACAAGTAGCCAGTTCGGTAAGATTATGGTATTGTCTACCAACCCTGATCAACTTGTGATACCGGTTCTGTCAAATATTTGAGCTGGGATTATAGCTCCTTACTTGAACAACATACCGGAATGGAATTCGGAAATGCAAAGTTGGTGATTCTTCTCAATTTGGAGTAGTAGTGGGTGGCCGAGGTTTTGCACTTGAGATTTTCCAGCAGGTAGTCATTGAGGAGTTGAAAGGTAAATACAGTCTGGCAAGACTTGTAGGTGGATGGGTACAACCCAACATGGAACAACTGTATGTCCTTGGCTGCTGCCCCTGAACATCCACAGAAGACGACCGGCAGGTGATGCACACCTGAAGTATGGATGATGGTCATGACCCAGCCACCATTGTAAACCCTATCTGGTGGCTTTGGATCGGCTGAAGTGCTAGGAAGGTCTTCAAGATCAAACCATCTGTCCTCTTTGATGTCAATATCGGCATCCAAGTTTCTGGCTGATTGCGGGCACCGTTCACCTTGGTGACCTAGGTTGATAACCAATCCTACTTTCCAGAGCCAGCTCTGTTCATAAAAGATGCCGGTCCATCGTTCAATCCAGTGGAATGGGTCTCGGCAGTGGGATGTCTGGCAGCAGTCTGTACAATACACGGGGCCGGCAAAGCAATCCAGACATCACCAAGTTGCCTCCTTCTTGCAAATGGTACAAACATGGATTGAAGCCTTCCTCTCCAAAAGCTCATGGAGGTATAGATTGTGTTTCGTCTGTTTCCAGACCCTCATATAGTCATTGGATGACTGAACAAAGTTAATTAGCTCTTAGTATATGGACATATTGGGTGTGAAATTTTACATTTCTGTGAGGTGGTTTGTCAAGAGGAGGAGTGTATTCAATGTATGGCAAATCTTCATTTCCGGTTTCGTTGTCTCTTTCCAGGTGGCTGCAGTTCCGCTTTTTTACTGGAGAAGAGGGCAGGGAGGGAACAGTGGAGGAGGGAAAATACCTCCTTCCATTTTTTATAACAAGCCTGTTGAAGTGGGTAATACCAGTGGTGCTGTGGGACCTTCTTCCCATGGGTGATTATTCAAATGAGGGGGAAAGGAAAAGGAAAGTGTAGTTGTTGAATAACAACTGCAAATATAAACAAGTGAATCTCATTTCCTGCTTGTTCAGCTTCTGTGGAGTTTATAAAAGAACTAGGACATAATTTGTGCTTGAGAAGGGTTCATTAGGATATATACAACCAGTAGATTCATTTTTGTACTAATACTAGAACTAGTAGATGCGTGTGCATGAATTTGATTCCAGTCAAACTACCCACTTGGCTATCAACCTGGCTGCAATGTTAGCATACTTAATGGACCTCATTAAACTGCCACCACGTATTTTCTGATTGACATGATACAAGCAGTGGACTCATGTTCATACTATATCCAGGTACTAGACCCAGTAAACCCATGCATGTGCGTGCAATTGATTTCCGCATGTGCACGCAATTGATTTCTGGTCAATGTTAAAGTCTGGTCAATTTTCTTTATCTTCTGCAAAATTGGTTGCAAATGAACCTACATGTGCTAGCTACCCCAACTGTACTCTGGTTTCAAGGTAGTTTCAAGGTGTAGTTTAATATTTCCTATGTCATTATTCTGCAAGGCATACAGAAGTTGTTCTGATGGATGATCGTCAGGGTCACAACCTTTTTAATGTTTCCATTCTGTGATGGTTTCTCCCAATCATTACTGTTCCGTGATGTGACAACCCTAATGTTTCCATTCCATGATGGTCTCTGCCAATCATTACTGTTCTGTGATGCAAGGTTATCTGGCCGATGCTAATCTGTGATTGGTGCTCGTCACAGATATTTTTAGCATTTCAAAGTAATGCTATTTGTTTGGACCTGTTTGGTCATTTACCTCTTCTCATCAAACCATCATTATTCATCCCGTTATGAGCATGTGTTCTGAATCCCCTAAACCATCTGACAGTCAAACCAAGCACCATGGGTCAGGGAGGTGTTGGACAAAGGAAGAAAGCGAGTTGTTGGAGAAACATCGGGATGAGTACAGAGAGGCCGGTGACTCAGCTTGTGCCAACTTATTGTCTGATGTTTTGCAAAAAATGCTGGACATACTCCCCAATGGAAAGATGTTCAACAAGGAGGAGAGAACAGCTGTTAATAAGGTAACTAATTTTCATGGTCCTAGATATGAATGTCCTTCTGAATGATTTTTAAGACATCAAGGCTTGGTTTGGGCGGCACAGTCACAAAAGAAGCCAAAAAATGCCAAAGTTGGGTCAGCAGTGGCATGCCTGACATGTGTTCTGGCATGAGAATAAGGAAGCCATTGATACCAAGGCTACCAAGCTCTGCATAGAAGCCAACCAAGCCGGTGAGACCCAGCCTAAAGGGGGAGAAAGGACTCATTTTGATTTTCAGGAGCAGGTGGTCACTGCTATGATGGAGAAACTTACAAAGAAAGAGGTAAAAAGGTTGGAGAGGACGGCCAAGGAGTTCAACAAGAAGGGGGTGGACCCCAAACTCAAGTCAAAGTGAGTCATTTGATTGTCAATCTTGGTTTCTCTGAATCTCTTGTAGGTTGGCCATGAAGAACTGCACTGCTTGGATGCATGCCTTTTCCAAGGAGATTTATGACACAATGGGTGTCCAGGTCTTTATATTTGGCTGTTACCTGAAACCTGATGGTACTTTGGACGTCTCAACCTACGACTTCAATCAAGAACTGGGCAATGGAAAGGACTACATCAATAGCCAAGGCCAGAGTTTCCAAGAAGATGGAATAATGGTAGCTTCTGGGAGAGCACATAATGAGGACCACTATGGGTCTGATGAGTTGACTTTGGCTGAGGAAGGACACTGAGGCGGCCAGGCGGCCATGACTCTGGAGATGAATAACTATGGAGAGCCCATTCTGCCCGATCCCTCAAAGCCACCAGTTAAAACTTCCCATGATGTTCGAATTTGGCAACTAAATCTTCTTCGTTCTTTTGTGAACCAGCATTATAGTAAGTACGTCCAAATGAGATCCCTTTATTATTATCGAACTTTTCTATCTATTTAGATATTGCAGCTGGGCAGCAAAAGGGATCAGCTCTGTGGACAGCTATTGGAGCAAAGTTATCCAACTTTGTGGATGAGGAACACATACCTGAGGCTTGGAGAGCAGTAACCTCAGAGGGGGATAACCTTTACAAGTTTCTCAATCCCTCCAAATTTCTGATGGAGATGGTCAGTCAAGCTCTACAATTTTGGTATGAACATCAAGAAAAAGGCAAAGTCGCCTTTCAATTTAAAGCCTTTTTGGAGGGCAAAGCGGTTCGGGAAGCACCTCGCTGGCAGAAAATCACAGTTCTAGTTTCAAAATGACTAGTTCATGGTGTTGGGAAGGGAAAGAAGCTCAGCAAAAGCAAGGGTCAAAGGAAAGGCTGGGCAACAACCGAGTTGTTGTCAGATGAGGAAGCTACAGTTGGGAAGGGAAGGAAGCCTGGCAGAAGCAAGGGAAAGACTGAGTCCAGGTCAGATGAGGAAGCTTGGCCGACTTGAAAGAAAATAGCATCCAAGAGTGGTTGGGAGGACTCCCATACTGAGTCTGGGTCAGATGGGGAACCTCAGTCTACAAGAACGAAAGGGAAGAAACCCCAAGATCAATGGGACTCTGATGTGGAGGAGGAGGAAGCTTGGCCAGGCATGGCAAAAGGAAGGCCAATCTGCAGGGACTCTCAGCCGACCAAGAAGAAGGCAGCTGACTTGGATGTGAAGGGCAAGCCCAGGTCAGTCAAGGAAGCTTGGCCGAAACACAAAGATCAATGGGACTCAGACTCGGATGTTGAGAAGCAGGAAGTTCGGCTGACCAACAAGAAACCAGTCAACTTGCATGTAAAGACCACAACAAAAGGGGAAGATCAAGATCAATGGGACTCCAATGTGGGAGAGGAGCAAGCTTGGCCCAACAGGACAAAAGCAGTGAAGTTCAAAGGGTCAGAAGAAGCAGCTCAGAAAGATCAATGGGACTCTGACTCAGATGTTGAGAAGCAGGAAGTTTGGCCGATCAAGAAGAAAGCAGCCACAAAGAACAACTTCAATGTCAAGGGGACAGGAACCGAGCCTGGTTCAGATGAAGAAGCTCGGCCAACGAAGAAGGCAGCCAACTTTGAAGGAACCAAGCCCGGGTCAGTTGAGGAAGCTTAGCCAAAACCCAAAGAACAATGGGACTTGGACTCAGATGTTGAGAAACAGGAAGTTTGGCTGACAAAGAAGAAAGTAGCCACCAAGAACGACTTTGATGTAAAGGGGACAGTAACCGAGCCTGGGTTAGATGATGAAGCTCGGCCAACAAAGAAGGCTATTGATATCCTGAAACCTAAAGCAAAGCCAGGACCCAGTGAAAGCTTTTGGGAAATGGACTTGGCAGAGCCATTGGGTGGACGTGGGATGAAAAGAAAATACAGTGATGATGAAGAGGATGCCCTCCCCAACAAGACTTCTCGGTTGGAGGCTGGTTACAAACTTGGCCCCAAAAACAGCCGACCTGGCAAAATCAAGAAGGCTGCTGGCTCCCCTGTCATGCAAGATGTTTCCATTGACAAACCATCTACCGAGGTCGATCCACATGCTGGTCGTGGCCCATCAACTAACATTGATTTAGTCAAGTTGGCCATGGCTAACCCTGTCAAGGCAAAACCTAAACCTTGACCCATCAAAGGCAAGGTTTCCACCAAGCTTGGTATTGTGACCTGAGATCAGTCAAAGAGAATTGCTGAAGAGAGTGTTCGAACCACCCAATCCAAGAAACATTAGTTTATATCTTTTTTACCTTCAATTAGAATAATGTCAATCCATTTTGTATTGGAGTTTAAGCCCAAGTTTGTAATTGCAAAAGGTACATAAAACTACTTATTCACCCCTGTCCCAGGCCTTCGTCTTGCTCGTTACAAAAGGTTTTAGTGAAAGTAAGGTGCACTTCAGTCACCCACCTTGAACAAGCTATTAGCCTTGAAACATATAGGTATATATCCAGGCTAATAGGTTCCTTGGCCGTTTATTTTTTTGCCTCTGGAGGAAAATATATTATTGCATTGGGCAAAAATGTTTGACCTTCAATATTGTGACCAGAAATATTTGGGTTGATATATTGCATTGAAAAATATCCTAGCCATCTGAAAGTGGTCAGAAATGTTTGAAGCATGTTAGAGTGGTAGGAAATATTTGAAGTGTTTCAGACTGGTCAGAAATGTTTTAGCTATGTCACACTGCTGAAAAATCTTTTGGTCATGTCACACTGCTAAGAAATGTTTGAGTAGTGTTCGCAGGTCCAGTCTACAGGACAGAAAATATACATAGGACTGAACTGGACTGAACCACGGTCCGGTCTTTTTCCAGTTGCAGTTGCCCACATTTGTGGTCAGTCCAGTTGCCAGTTGCCATGTTTTTGTAAATATATAAAAGCCAAAAAAGACCGGTTTAGACCCGTTGCAACCGGTCTTTCGTCTCATCACATATTGTACCTTACTCGTGCACATTTTACTTAATTTTCGGTTCCTGAATCATCAAAAACGGTCAAGAATTGGTTGAGATATGGCCAAAAACATTTTTATATGCAATTTGAATGTATGTTCTCTCCGTTTTCACCATATCTCAGTCAAATCTTGACTGAATCGTTTCAAATCTTGGCCAGCTTACGGAAAATTAAATTATCTATCTGCGCATGCTATATACATGAGGTAACATTTAATATATCTGGCACAATAAATTTTTCAACAAAAGACCGGTCGCAACTGGTCTGGACCGGTTTTTTTTTGCGTTGTGGACTGATTAGGACTGGTCCAAAGCGGTCCAGTTGCGGTCCCTCAATATTTGGATTGGTCTAGACTGGTTGCGGTTGCCAGTTGCGTCATTTTGAGGTAAAAAACTAGACTTAACTGGACCTGCGAACACTATGTTTGAGCCATGTCACACTGCTGAAAAATCTTTTGACCATGTCACAGAGTATCTGGGGTCCTAGTTTCAAAAAAAAAACTTCAAAAATTTCTGACCATTCAAACTTTTATCTTCTGAATTCAACTTTTATACAAAATTTATCATAAAGATAATTTTGGTCCTAAACTTGCCCTTTAACTTTTATATTGTATTTTTATTATAGAAACAGCAGATTATATATTGCATACAACTGTATCTATTGGTATTCAGCTATTTGTTATATAGTTATAGCCTCTAAATTCTGCTTCATCAGATAATAAAGGTTTTTACTGACTGCTCTTATATTGAGTTTATATTGGTAATTGCCTATAATAGACTAGCCCTACTTACTGAATCATTACTGTTGTCTATTATTCATGCAAATTACCAGAGGTAAATATTGGCTGATGCACAAGCCATATTGTGGTACACTACTGAACATAAGTGTCCCTAGGGTAGTGGAACAGCTGTTGGAATGTCTAACGGACAATGCAACCAAAGTTGTTGTGACCCTAGGAGTAGGTTGTTCCATCCAATCAATCAATAGCTAGGAGCCATGGAATGTGACAGTTCATAGTACCCATGCTCCGATCTTTATGGACAGTCCCATTGGAGAGTGCTATGATCATGCAAGTCGTGAAGGCTCCTCACATGTATTGCCTAGTGTTCAAGTTAGAGCTGTTAGTAGGGCTTGAGGATTGTCAGAGTCTGATGTTTCATGTAAATGTATATGTGATGTATTTGTGTTTGTTGACTATAATGATCTATTGAATTTCTTTTTTGAACACCATCATGACTGCCAGTACTTTACTGTGCCCCACCTATTTCTGCAGAAATGGCTAGAATCCTACAGAATTCTGATCTCTCTATTAGAAATACTACAAGAAGTCCTATTTTTTCTCATTTTTACCATATTTTATAAATGATTTTCATTTAAAATAGTAATATTCTCATTTGAAAATGAAAAATGGACTCCGAAATCACTATGACCACCAGTAATTACCATCTCCATTTTCCCCAATGTTACTCTCATTTTATTGTGATTTTCTGGCTATATTTGCACAAATTACCCTATTTGGAAATATGCACAGGTCATGTCCACGGCTGGTATCCCGTGGCTGTGAGGGATACTGACACTGGATACTCGGAATTACATAAGTTATGCACATGATGCTTTGGCATCACTGAACGTCTCTCAGAATCTCTCTGACTTCTCAGTACCACTGTGCTGTGCGCCGCAATGACAATCAGCTTCATAAAATCTGCAGCATGGACAACGCCACCCCTTGGATGGATGTGGATTATCCAGAAACCTCCACACCAGGAGTACCCCATGCTGGTTCATTTACAGTGCCTACTACCACTGACAATGCCTTTGTGCCTCGCAATCAGTAAGTGTTCTCATCATTTCAAGTTTATTAATAAACTGAACTGGTTATCTAGTCTTGGTTCCCCAAATCCATTCCCTTTTCTCATGGATGTTGACACCTCGGACCGACGTAAGCACGCCGGTGGTCAAATTTGATCATTTCTCACACACAGTTTAGCATATCCACCTGACATTGAAGATTACCACTTGTTTACACCAGGGCCTGAAGCCTCTGTGGCTCAACAGCCAAAACGTGGACATCCAAAGAAGATCACAGTAAAATTGTCAGCCTCAGATGTTCAAAATCACCATCGTCTTGGCCGTCCTCCAGGCTCTGGGCCTAAGCAACAAGCCAAGGCGGAACTTCTTGCAAGTGGCTGAAATGTAAGCCCTCCGACAAAGCGCCCTGTAGGACGGCCATGCAAGAGTAAAGATATGGGAGGGCGGGTGACGGTAAAGCTGATACAGGGGAAAATCATAAGTTACTTATCCCACCCTTCAACACTTCTTTTCAATCGACTAATATGCTCTAGGGACTGTCATGGATACACCCGGTTATTAACTGTACCTGATCCACGGATTTTCCCACCCACGGATCAGATAAGGCACAGTATGGATATATCCGTGGGTAAACAGCCTGGATGGCCAAGCATGTAGCTAAATGAGTGTATCTCGTTCATTTCTTGTCCGTTCTTTATGAAAAAAATTGTGTTAGAAAGCGAAAATTCAGAATAATTCATATTAAAACAAAAGTCATTCATATACTATCTAAATTGAGTATATAAAAACTAAAGTTATTCATATACTGTGGTATTTCGACCAACTGTTTGGCCAATGTGACGCGTGACGGCCCCGAACAGATGGGAGGAGTGTTCAAAATCAAGATGACTGTGTGACATAGTAATAAAAGTGTTCAGCCACCAAAGTGTTCATTGAGTGGTTGACATGGCGGCTGGCAGCAACCTTCTTGCCTCCTCCACAACCTCTCATCCAGTGCAATTCTCATCCAGGATTGTGGCCCAAAAAGTTCTAGATTCCTTTAATTTGATGTCTACTTCCTGTTTGGATACCTATAGAAGCGGATTTGGATGGTATATAGTTCTGTAATAGGTGTGAACGCCGCACAGTGGAGAAAAATGAGTTTTTGACAGGACCTTCCTTTTTAGGGTAAAATGTCACCCTATTTGACCCCCCAAGTGACCTGTGACAAGCGCCGTATCTGTTCAGTTCATTGTCTGATGTGACGAGTGACTGAACAGTTGGTCGAAATACCACAGATCATCATCTGAGGTCTTTCCCCTCATATAATGCTGCTGTAACTGAGCCTTGATCACAGAGAGTGTTGGGGGGGTGTATTAGCATGCCTTGGCCATCTTGAGAGTATTTATTTTCAGTTGCAGAGAGATGCCTTTGAGAACAATGATTGATATTCATGTAGGGTAGCAACAGAAACAATCAAAGAAATGGGAGGTTATATGATGGATGAGGTCTTATCAGTGCCCCCCTAATTCCTGCAGGAATCCGGTCATTCCTGTGGATTCCGGTGGATTCCGGAGGAATGAAATTTGGCAGGGAGGCCTGCCATTTTCATCATTCCGGTGCCTTACCATTCCAGCGGAATTTGGGCATTCCGGAATTGACACCGGAATGATCCGCGGAATGCACAGGAATGGAATGCAACAGAATCCGGTCCTTTGTTTGTTTATTTTACTTGTGTTACCAAACAAAGGCAACGTTACCAAACAAATGCAACACCATTCCTTTCCACCACCACCATCCATCCTCTTCCCCACCCCCACGACAGTCACAATAAACCGACGACACCACGCCACCCACGACAACAACAACAACCCCACATGACCCCACAACGGCGACAACCACCAAGCGACAAATGGCGACAACCACCGCCAGTGACGTGGCAACCAAACGGACAACAACAACAACACCACTGCTATGCACGAGCACCCACCACCATCCACGAGTGCCCACCACGACGACCACGTGAACGCCGCAACGCCACGTCACAAATCAAACAAGCCCCCCATGGCACGATGGCAACGACGCCCACGACAACAACGACGTCCACGGCTACGACAACGACCACGCGACAACGACCACGCGACAACGACAACGTGACAACGACCACGCCACGACGACAATGCGACGACGTCCATGCAACGACGTCCATGACTACGACGACGGCACGCGACAACGTCCACGCAACGACGACAACGCGACAACAACCACACGACAACGACAACGCAACAACGACCATGCGACGACACAGGATGACAACGTCGATGGACGACGAGGCCCAGCACTACCCCCTTCCCCTTTATTATCACACCCCCACACCACTCCCTGTCCCTTCCCTTCCTTCCTTCCTTCCTCCCTCCCTCCCTCCCTCCCTCCCTTCCTTCCTTCCTTCCTCCCTCCCTCCCTCCCTCCCTTCCTTCCTTCCTCCCTTCCTCCCTCCTTCCCTTTCTTCCTCCCTCCCTTCCTTCCCTCCTCCCTCCCTTCCTTCCTTCCTCTCCCCCTCCCCCCTTCTCTTCCTGCCACTTCATTTAACTTAGAAAATAGTAAATTAGATGTACATTTGAGTTTCAATATATAAAATTTTAAATATATAAATGTTATAAGAAAGTATTCATGCCCTTTAAGTCAGTGTGAATAAGTGCATATTAGTGTAAATGTATCTAGCAAAAAGGAAAGGTGTTGTATGGGTCATATTCTGGTCCCATTCCTGTGGATTCTGGTGCCATTCCTCTGGATTCCTGTGGATTCCTGTGGATTCCGGTGCCATTCCTGTGGATTCCTGCAGGAATGGGTGGGGCACTGTAAAGTACTGTGATGGATGGGCACAATGCATCACATTCCTGACTGCAACTTTCATGAATGGGTTCTGATTTTCTGCTCAGCCCCAGGTAAGCAGCATTATTCACATTTATTTTCCTTTACTTTTAACAATTGTTGCAGCTACATCTGTGGATGCAGAGTGGGCATTCTCCACTGGTCGCCATCAGGTCAATTTCACCCAGCACAATATCAACTCTCAAACATTCAGCGCATAAATGGCTCTTGGATCCTGGATTAAATCCCCCCTCTACCCAGGCTTCAATAAAGTTACACAAATGTTTGAAAAAAGATGGACAATGATTTCTTTTCCTCTTAAATAGCTTTTTGTAACACTTTATGTCACCAAAATTGTTCTTTCAATACCTCTGGGTTCATCAAGATAAGTTGGAATGTTGTCCTTGACAAACTGTTTTTTTATTGGGGCATATTGTGATTGTTTTGGCCAATAAAATTGAATTCATTAACAGGATTTCAAATATTTCTGGTGAAGAGCTTGGGTGACAGCTGGGAACAAAGGCCAGGTTACAATTTGGACCCCTTCACATGCAGCAGGGGCCAGAAAGTTGCTGTGATGGCATTCTGTCATGGAGACAAGAGGTGGGAGGGAGTTGGGGGCACAGATGACACTCTTATCTATTCCGGGCATGTATGCTCAAAATATTTCAAGAAGGTCTAAAAATATCTATTTTACCCACGGATACCTGCGGATAGTCCAGGTAGTTACCCGAATCCATCAATTGAGTCCAAATATGGGTGGATTTCAGGTTTACCCGGGGTTTAGCTATCCGTGACAGTCCCTAATATGCTCGCAGTCAGTAGGGAACGCTCAACCCAGGCCCTCTTCAGCTCTGCTGCCCAGCCATATGAATGTGGCTTCAATATTTCAATTTTCAGCCCAGGACACATGCCGCGCTTCATCAGTCCCCAGCAGCCCATCTGCGACTGCACCTACATCATTCCCAGACCCGCTGCCACCATCATCACACGAAACAGAGCTGTCTGCCAACATGTCGTTCATCTCGCACAATATCATTCCACCTGAAGATCTGCAATGCCCAGTTGAGCTCGACGACGAAGATGATGGAAATCTGGAAATCTCAGGAGATGGGCTAGGTGATGAGGATGAATTCAGCATAGAAGGTGATGAGGCGGATGATGAGAGAGACCCAGGAGAGGAGGATGCAGGAATGCAGGACATGACAGGGCTACATCCACGACGTCCCATGCCACTGTGGTTGCGCGATGCCTTCAAGTTGAAGGTCACCAAGTCTGCGCAGCGAAACAAGAAGGGGCTGCCGCCACTCTATGCAAACCATCAGACCTTCTGGTTTCCCCAGCCATCGACATTTTTTATCCTTCAATGGAAGGTTGTCTCACCGCAAAATCTCTACAACCCCAAGTTCACGTTGTGGGATCCTGAGTCCCTCTGTCCCAATGGTATTCCTTGCCCAAATTGTTGTACTTGGCTTTGCCGACTCTGTCATATATCTCACCCTCGCCGCTGTGTCAGTATCAATGAAACATTTATTATTATTGGATACCGATACCGTTGTCCGAAGTGCCTTCACCCTGTATCTGGTAAAAATACTGTTACATTTAGGAACTGGGACACACGAATCCTGGCTGTGTTGCCATCAGAGCTTGCAACCAAGTTTCCCGCTCGCCTCAGCCATCGAAGTGGCATCTCCACCACTCTTGCTGGGTGGATGTGGTCCTGCTTTCAGAATGGCATGGGAGCAAAGCAATTTTCCGATGCTCTGTGTGTCCAACATCTACTAAAATATGATGAGCTGCATCTTCAGTACCTGGATCTCCTTGCTCGCTGTACATTAGATGGGTGGAGTGGTCAAAAATATGAGGCTTTTCCTCTGTTTGAGAACAGAGGCCCACAAGGGCTCCATGGCTTTGTCCCTGGAGCTATATGGATTCAAGACATGTATGACTGCTATATTGAGGAACATAAATCCAAGTTCAACCAACATACCGCCATGCTCAGTGCTGAAATATGTGCACTTGATCATAGTCACAAGGTATCCACTTGTTTTCCTCAATTAATGCCGCATTCACTTATCCTTTTGTGTAGATTACAAAACACATCACAAAAGTTAATGGAGAAGAGGTCTTTACAGCATTGCTGACGGTCACAAATCAACTGGGCAAGATCAGATCCTGCAACTTGGTTGCAACAAAATCACATGCACAGTTCGAAGAGGCACTGAAGGGAATTCTACACTCACTCAAGTTATACAGCCATATTTTGCTGTACTTGTTTTTCACTGATAACATGGCCGATAAACAATTCCTCGAGCACTGCTTTCTGTCCCTTTTGGAATCTGTGGTTCCGGTTGAGAAGTACCAGAATCTAGAACCTCTGGTTGTGCCAGATAACGTCCTGATTTTCATCTAGAAATCTGAATCAGCTATCAAATGACGCTATGTGTACTATCATTGATGACTTACCTCCCAACGACTCAAGCACCAAAATTGTTGTCGGATTTGACTCAGAGTGGAATGTTGAAGTCTCTGGACACGGAAATGTAATTCAACGACGGAAGACAGCCATTCTGACTGGTGGCTACCACTTTTATCTATAACCTAGACTTAAGCCTAGAGAGTCATTTCTATAACTTAGACTTAAGCCTAGAGGCCATATCTATAATGCTTAGGACTTTTTGAAAGGCATTTCAAATGTAGGCCTGGGTATTTCATAGTGAATTTTCCATAGATACCCAGCGCATTTTCTGCGAAATTTCAAATGCAGCCCTGGATATTTCATTGTGATTTTTCAATAGATACCCTGGGCATTTCATTGTGATTTTTCAAATGTATCCCTGAGTATTTCATTGTGATTTTTCAAATGTATCCCTGGATATTTCATTGCAAAATTTCAATGGATACCTGGCGCATTTCATTGCGATTTTTCAATAGATACCCGGGGTATTTCATTGCGATTTTTCAAATGTATTCCTGGGTATTTCATTGTGATTTTTCAAATGTATCCCTGGATATTTCATTGCAATTTTTCAAATGTATCCCACATGTCAGGGTCCATGCAATGGGCTTCCCTGGAGGGTGGTCACATGACCAATTAACAAAAATGGTCAAAAACGAAAGTTGTAGCCCTACACTGTAGCTTCCCGAATCTGTTTGAATTATGTTCTGAAGTGTTCCCGTTGTGGAGATATGAGGTAATGGAATTTCAAAAGCGTCGCATTTGTTTTTTTTTTTTGTGTTTTTCTCCCTGAAAACAAAACCAGATAACATGATTTCAGTATATTCAGAAAGCTAAAAGAAAGGGCTACAATTATTGTATCATGGGAAAAATGACCAAAAAAGGAAGGTGCATCCCATACTATAAGAATCAGATATAGACTACCAAGTTTACTGATAGACTACAAAAAAGTCGGACTTAGACTACACAGTTTACTGATACACTATAAAAGACTACAAAAGTCGAACTTAGACTACAAAAGCATGGACTTAGACTACATAGTTAGGGTTAGAGTCAAAAGGTTATCTTGACTACAAAGTTTGTAGTGTGCGCTTTTTCATTAAAAAAGTTTGTAGTGTCCGCTTTTTGAGACTACAAAAGTTGTAGTGTTGCGCTTTTTCACTAAAAAAGTTTGTAGTGTCCACTTTTTGAGACTACAAAAGTTTGTAGTGTGAGACCTTGACTTAGACTACATAGTTAGGGTTAGAGTCAAAAGGTTATCTTGACTACAAAGTTTGTAGTGTGCGCTTTTTCATTAAAAAAGTTTGTAGTGTCCTCTTTTTGAGACTACAAAAGTTTGTAGTGTTGCGCTTTTTCATTAGAAAAGTTTGTAGTGTGCACTTTTTTATTAGAAGAGTTTGTAGTGTCTACTTTTTCATTTAAAAAAGTTTGTAGTTGACATGTAGTTTATGGTGTCCTTGGCCCTATCTATGTTATGGGGATGAGGTTGAAGGATTGCCATCATATTGCCAGTACTGCAGCATTAGTATTTGACATCATGCACAAGTTGTCTTTCACATTAGGAAAGGCCATTCTATGTCTTTCATATTGATACCTACTGTCCTATCTCAAGACATAATTGTAAGCTCATTGACATGACATGACCAGTTTTTGACATCATGACCAAGTTTGCCTTTTACGCTGTCTGCTTTCATATTGATAACTACTGGCCTGTCCCAAACATAGTCAACTTTGATACAGGTCTTTGAGGGCTGTAGGATGATGGGCTGATTCATCCTTTGAGGTGTCTTGAAGACAGGTCATGTTGTAAGTTGACCATGTATTGAGTAGATATCAACATGAATAGCTAGTGTTTGGAAGTCCGGTCTCGTGACTGGAAAAAGACCGTAACCAGACCGGACCAAGACCGCAAAAGACCGGACCTGCGGTTACGGTCTTTTATTTTTGAAATGTGAAGACCGCAAAAAAACCGGTTAATGTGAACCGGTCTTGACCGGTTTGGACCGGTCTTTTGTAGCCTCTTAAATACCCTTTAAAACGCACCCAAGAACATACGATTTGGTAAAAAAACGAGAGAGATATGAATTAAAATGTAAATTACTTTTGGGAATAATAGATGTACCAGACTTATTTTATAGAAGCACCAATTCCTAACGGAATTTAACGTTCTTGGGCTCGTTTTGAAGCTATTAGAGATGTTAATACATTTACCGATTCATAATTTTAAAATATTGGCCTAAAGACCGGTCATAAACTGGTTAAAACCGATGCAGACCGAAACTGGTCTATAGACCGCAAAAAACCGCGGTCTGCGGTCTTTTTGCGGTCCGGTCTGGTCTTTTGACTTCTGGGGAAAAGGCAGACCGGTTACAGTTACGGTTAACGCCCCTGGGCATCAAAAAACCGGACCGAACTGGACTTTCAAACACTATGAATAGCCTTCTCTAGCTTGAAAGCCAACTTGGGCATGATGTGAGGAACTGATGATGTGGCAATAGCAATATGTAAAGTCATGTCAATCCTTCAGCCATATCCCCATATGAGCTTACAATTATGTCTTGAGATAGGACAGTATGTATCAATATGAAAGACATAGAATGGCCTTTCCTAATGTGAAAGACAACTTGTGCATGATGTCAAATACTAATGCTGCAGTACTGGCAATATGATGGCAATCCTTCAACCTCATCCCCATAACATAGATAGGGCCAAGGACACCATAAACTACATGTCAACTACAAACTTTTTTAAATGAAAAAGTAGACACTACAAACTCTTCTAATAAAAAAGTGCACACTACAAACTTTTCTAATGAAAAAGCGCAACACTACAACTTTTGTAGTCTCAAAAAGCGGACACTACAAACTTTTTTAATGAAAAAGCGCACACTACAAACTTTGTAGTCAAGATAACCTTTTGACTCTAACCCTAACTATGTAGTCTAAGTCCATGCTTTTGTAGTCTAAGTTCGACTTTTGTAGTCTTTTATAGTGTATCAGTAAACTGTGTAGTCTAAGTCCGACTTTTTTGTAGTCTATCAGTAAACTTGGTAGTCTATATCTGATTCTTATAGTATGGGATGCACCTTCCTTTTTTGGTCATTTTTCCCACGATACAATAATTGTAGCCCTTTCTTTTAGCTTTCTGAATATACTGAAATCATGTTATCTGGTTTTGTTTTTAGGGAGAAAAACACAAAAAAAAAAAAAAAAAAAACGCGACACTTTTGAAATTCCTTTACCTCATATCTCCACAACGGGAACACTTCAGAACATAATTCAAGCAGATTCGGGAAGCTACAGTGTAGGGCTACAACTTTCGTTTTTTGACCATTTTTGTTAATTGGTCATGTGACCACCCTCCAGGGAAGCCCATTGCATGGACCCTGACATGTGGGATACATTTGAAAAATTGCAATGAAATATCCAGGGATACATTTGAAAAATCACAATGAAATACCCAGGAATACATTTGAAAAATCGCAATGAAATGTGCCAGGTATCCATTTGAAAAATCACAATGAAATGCCCAGGGTATCATTTGAAAGATTGCAATGAAATACCCAGGAATCTATTGAAAAATTGCAATGAAATACCCAGGGATACATTTGAAAAATCACAATGAAATGCCCAGGGTATCTATTGAAACATCGCAATGAAATGCCCAGGGTATCTATTGAAAAATCGCAATGAAATGCGCCAGGTATCCATTGAAATTTTGCAATGAAATATCCAGGGATACATTTGAAAAATCACAATGAAATACCCAGGGATACGTTTGAAAAATCACAATGAAATGCCCAGGGTATCTATTGAAAAATCACAATGAAATATCCAGGGCTGCATTTGAAATTTCGCAGAAAATGTGCTGGGTATCTATGGAAAATTCACTATGAAATACCCAGGCCTACATTTGAAATGCCTTTCAAAAAATCATAAGAATTATAGATATGGCCTCTAGGCTTAAGTCTAAGTTATAGAAATGACCCTCTAGGCTTGGGTCTAGGTTATAGAAATAAAGTGGTAGCCACTAGTGCCATTCTTCAAATTGCATACAAGGAACAGATATATATTCTCCAGGTTAGCTCCAAGGATCATTCAATACTTATCACTCCCCCACCTATTCCTACTGGACTCCAGGACTCCAGTAGGATTCCTACTGGATTTTAACAAAATTTCCAAAAAGGCATTTTCACATATTTCTCCATTCCCCCTCCTACTGGACTCCTACTGGACTCCAACTAGACCCAGACAAATACCAGAAAGTGAATGCAATGCTTCAGATATTGGATTCCTACTGGACTCCTACTGAATTCCTACTGGAGTATCATAGAATTTACTATTACAGAGTTCCCATAGCTAAGTTCAGATCATGTGACTAATAACCAAGGTCATGTGACTAGATTTTGAGAGTCTACTTAATCTGTAGGACTATCTTACCTCATGTGTCATCTTCAAAATCAGATTTAACCTCTTCTTCCTCTTCCATATATGGTCTTTTCATCTGCTTTTCCATCATATACTGGCTGTGGTAAAACAACATTGAATGCAAGAACCAATCAGAGTTTCCCTGTGTCATCCTCTTTAGAATGGACTCAAAACCACCCAACCAGGCATTCAACTGTTCACAGGCCTGTTGTAATATTTATTAATTCTTATATTACACCACATGTCAATCTAAACTTACCTGTGTGTTAAATGTTCACTTGTAGTATGATCGACCATGTTTGTCTTTTTCAACAACAACCACATTTGGAGCTGAGCCATTCAATGGTGCAGGATTACACCATTTGCAACAAATATAATCACCAACACGGTGATTAATATAGTGGTAACTATCAACAATGAAGTTTGAACTGTGTTGTATGTTTCCAGATTCTGTCCCAGCTTCCATTGCTTATTGCTGTTCGTAGTAGTAGACAAGCCTTATCAATACAGATGTAATCTTGACGTGAT